TATTATTATATTTATTAAGTTAATTTTTAGTTTATAGAAAAAATATGAAAATATATTTTATTAAATGATAATGAAATTTTAGACATAAAACTGAGCATTAAATTTTTATTCACTAATTATATGGATCAATACAAACATGACAAGGAAATAAATAAGTCGACACGACATAACACGATTAGTTAAACGGATTAAATTAAAGTTGACTAGTACTCGACAAAAATTTAAAACAACACAATTGTTATCCCTAAACACATCTCTTTATATTAAATCGAGAGAAATAAATTGGATTGGATTAAAGTTGACTGGTATTCGACACAAATCTAAAATAACATGAGTGTCACCCCCTAAAGACAACTCTTTATATTGGATCGAGAGAAATAGACCAACACTTCTCTTTATAACTCTTGCGGGATTCAGAAATATAATCTTCATATTTTAACACAAATTACAAAAAAAAAAAAAGAGGTATTTTAGAATACCTCATATTCTTCTTCTCTCTCTCTTCTCCTCTCTCTACCTACCCTTGAACCCTTGACCTTAGGGTAAGAAATGCTGATTCCCTAGCCAACAAGGCACAAGGAGGGCAGGTGCTTCTAACGCTGACTCTTTAAATTTTATATAGCTATATACCCTTTTAAATTTGAACTCTAAGCCCAATGGATAAACAACTAAGTCCAAAGCCCAGTGCTTATAGTTGTTAGATGGCCCAAATGTAATAGATGTGAAAGAGCCCAAGAATTAACGCCAGCTTAAGGGGTTTTGATTGACATAATTCACTCCTTCAAATTGGTAGTTTAATTTTAGTTATGGACTTTACTTAGTCATGAAGCATCTAAGTCATCTCTTTGATCATCAAATGATACAACAGATTTTCAGAAAAGAAACAAAATGGAGGTATTTTTAGAATACTTCAAGTAATCCTCTCTCTCTCTCTCAATCCTCGAACCCCTGCCCTAAGGATTGAAACTTTAGATCCACAACTAGGTCTGTCAACGGGTTAGATTTGAATCACATTTTGATTGACCCAAATTCGTATTTGAAGTCTAATTTGAATCAGATCTGATAATTCGACAAATTTATATTTTGTGATCTACATTTGAATCCGTTAATAATCTAATCCGAATAATTAAATTAACTAAATTTTAACAAATTATATCTAAATTTTAATTAGATTTTTTCAAATAATCAATTAATTTCTTGAATATTTATACAAAAAAATACAAAAATATTTATACAAGATATCAAATTCATATTCAAATCCAACACACAAATCCTTTGGTGCAAGCCCAACCCTTAAAACTATAAGATACCAAAATGGCCCTCTGAATATAATCGTGTTTAAGCATATGTACCATTTGTTTCTTAGCTCTCTATCCGGTCAAGGCATGAATGTTTATACACTTTGAGCAAAAAAATAAACTCCATTATTAAATCAAAGTCTCTATTATACTCCTTTTTTTATGCAAGAAAAAGGTTATGATGGGATAACCGATTGATCATAGAAATTTATATTTCAGACTTTATAATAGATTTTTGACAGCATCCTACCATCCTAAAAAGAAAAAATTTATACCATTTGTCACTAACTCGTGACCTACCTAATTCTTACGGGTGGTCTAATGGTTAAGTACGACATTTGATAATTTAGAGGTATTAAGTTTAATTTTTTTTCACATTTCTTAAGAATTAATTATTCTTATCTATGTAATGATATACTCTAATCTAATAACGGTCTATTGCTGAACTCGAAAAGATAATCAATACAAACTTAAACCGTGTTATAAAAAAAAACCCGTGACCTACCTAACCTAAGGTCCTGGTGACTCCTTTATATCAAGACCCACCGTGGAGACTCCCCACTTTTGCCTTTCCATTGAAAGCTAGCGTGCCCCATCATTTACGGCATAACTGATTTAGTACACCCTCAATGAAAGCACCCATCAAGGGTCACCCACCATAGTACACTGTTGAAGAGATGACCATTCATGACAGGATAGGACTGTCAGTTTAAAATGTTTAAGGAAATTTTTAAAAAAAAATACCACCACCACCCCCACAGCCAGTACCCTTGGCATGCTGCGTTGCTTCCCCAATTCATGCTACAAGCCAAAGGCTGGCCGGATTTATTTTTGTTTTATGTTATGCTTTTACATGTGCTTATACATTTCCACATGGCTTACGTTTCTGGGCAGTGAAATAGGCGCAGGGGTACCAATTTATGCTTTCTTTCATGCCCCGTGATGTGTTTTTATTAAGAAAAATCATCTCAATCACGTGTCTTTTTAACTCGCAAATTTACTGTAAATGTTAAATGCAAGTAATCAATCGCAAATCACACGTATCAATTAACTTTTGTTTGTGCGATCAATAAGACTCGAACTTATGACAGATGAATTTATCCTTATTTTTTTATCAAATGCTGCATCCCCTCGTAAGTTCAATTGGTTCAGTCTGGCTAGAGTGCATTAATGGTTGAATTTAAATTATATACATTGAGTCCAATGATCAAAATATCGTTTAGGCGCATTATTTCGATTACCTAAGAAATGGAAATGTTTCGAAAATGTTTCGGAAACGTTTTGGAAACATAATGAAAATGGATAAAAAAATTAGGAATTTATTTTCAAAACATTTCAAAATATTGGTCTAAATATAGTTAAAGTTCTTGAAACATTTCGAAATATTCCAAAACATTGGTAAAAACATATTAAAACATTTCAAAAAAAACAAAACATTCCGAAATATCTCAAAGTATTAGAATTTCGATTCAATCAATAATTCGTTTCGATCTCCTTATAAATAAAAATATTTCGGACGTTTCGATTATTTTGACACGATATTTTGATCCTTAATTAAATCTCACTTGAGTTCACAACGGGTGAGGAAGATATACTAGTGAGTGTCTAATTATGTAAAAGGTGTGCCGTGGGTGGGGGAGAGAGAGAGATTTGGATCAAGAAAACCGAGGGGAAAAGTGGGGAAAATTCTTGAATTAAAAACTATCGAAAACGAGAAAATGTTAATGCAATTGTCATACCACGCCATCACCACCACGCAGTTTCACCATAAAATTGAATATACACTCAGAACCAATTAACCCTTGAAAGGAGGGGGAGTCCAAAAAACACACATTCAATGGCCGGTTGAGATTGAAAGGTTGACTGATTCATCAAAATAATCGGCAATGTATTAGATCATAGTGTTGCTGATTATATGCTCTCTCTCTCTCTCTCTCTAAAGAAGAATGTGAATTGATGCTGCATTTGGCATGGGACAGGAAGCTGTACCAAATAGGTAGGCTGTCTATTATGGTCGACAGATATGGCCTTTCTTTGCTGTTTTCTCTACAGCCGACTTGAATGAACCCATTCCAGACAAATCTCACATGGCCTAAAGATGTGCTGAACCATCAAATTTACTAGCCACTTGATTGATGGACCATGCTCCATAACACACATAAATAGTTTGGTACATCAAATGGTGCCCTTGACAACGAAACTTAAACAGCATATCTCAACGAATTTTCATTCAAATCCATATCCAGCATAAAGATGGTACCTAGTCACCTCCCGCTGGTCGATATTTCGGGTCTCAAGTAGTAAAGTGGTACATAAATTTAACTTTATTTTGGAAGATTGACCTTTTAGACTTATACCACCGACATATTGCTTCACTTCTATTTGAACCGGCCAACGGGCATTATAAGAGGAATATTTAACATCGCTTTAAGTCTAACCGCTTAAAGTTCATTATCTGCCTAGAGATTGAAAAAAAACATGATACTTTACTGTAATGATAATTTTATCTATTTGTGGTTTTGCCAAGCTTCAACCATACTTGACATTCTGGATTAAGCAAGAATCTTGTCAAAATAATATACTTATTCAGACTTAATCTGTGAAGAGATTTAAAACATAAGGTTAACTTCCGGAGGAATTACCTCCCAAATCTAACTCTAGCCCCTTCCGAGAGGTAATTCCTATTCGGAGAGTGCCATATGCACCGGCCTCTCAACACGTGCAACGGTTAATCAGAACTCGTACAGTAGACAGGGAGTCGAGCCCACATCCAAAGTTTGGATATAATTCATCTAATTAATAGAGATTTGTCCTACTAACCAAACTGTGCTGACACTAAAAAGACTGGCCTCAAAAAGTTGCCAAATTTTCAAACTCAGGTTGAAGTTTACAGCTTGCTTCCATCTCCACTTGAACAGCGCTTTGGGGTTAAGAGATTTAAAAGATGACTTATAAGGACCTAAGAAAGGTATCTAAACGAGCACTGATACACAGAAGGTTCAGCTACTTCCCAGCGAAAAGTTTGTGGAGGACCTTTTAAGACAAAGAGTACAGGTAGCTCTAATGTCGTTAAAACTTGAGCACTGTCTATCTTCAAATCTATGATCCTTTTTTTGGACGCAAGGCAATCCATGGCAATTAGAGATGACAACATATTACACCATTCATTAACACGATAAGAACATGATACAAAATTAGAGAATTTAAGTCTTTCTTAAACTATTTATTTCTTAAACAAGTGGACCTAATACAACACAATTAATAAACAAATCGGATATAGATTTTTTTTTTTGGATCTGAATCGGATATAGATTACTTCAATCAAAAAAAATACACAAAATAACTTGTTTATATATTAGTTATACAAGATCATATATAATATAAACTTGATATGACAATTTATTAGACATAAATTAATAAATAAATCAAGTATAGACGAAAGACTTTCTGAAACAAATCCCCTAAAACCCGAGCAATCCAGAAAAACTGGAAGCTCGAAACAACCTGTCAAAGAAATTGATCCGTTTAGTTTTGTTCGCCTCCTAGTTTTATAAAACACCCATGTAGAGGGATCTTTCCAACGGTAAGCATGTGTGTAGTTTCTCCTTTTTCTACATTTATGTGTAGTTTCTGTGGAGTACATATAAAAGAACGTTGAAACATTACAGCATTCCATAGAAACCAATGGTCAAGTTTGATGCTTCACTTTTTCTTTTTCTTTTTGGAAACTATTTGTGCTTCACTTTTGAAGTCTTCAAACAGTGAAGAAAATGAATCAAACCAAGTAAAGGGCAAGAAAACAACAAAAGAGAAACAAGTAGTTCCACATTTACAAGGCATAGATTTTACCTAGAGAATCCGGAAAAGAAGTCATTGTTCTGGGCAACTTGTAGAACAATTGAAGAACATTATAATCAAAGATGTGAAGCATAAAGAGTAATACCCGAAACCTGCATTCCTACAAGTTAAACTGTGCTAAAATCCTTGCTTCTTGTTTTAAAGACAAATTCTTCTTACAAAAGAATAGACCAAAAAAACGAAAGAATCAATAAAAAAAAGAAAGAAATTACAAAAAGAAAAAGGGTAAACCTTCAATGTAGTAATGAACATCACCATTTTGTAATGGGATTCCGTACCTCCAAGATGTAAGTGATTTGATGATCCTTTTCACACAAATTCTTCTATCGAGCAAGGTGTTATATTGCGTCTGCAGTGCAGAGGAAAAGGAAGAGGCACTCTCAGCCCTCCGCAATTTCCCCACAGGTGCTGTATCTCCATAATGTACTTAGCTTCAGTGTCTGGTGCACCATGTCACCTGTTCTTGCTTGATCATGTATCCCCTACTAAGACTACAAATTTCTGTTCACCCAACCTGTTCACCGATCAAGTCAAGGCCCACAAGCAGGAACGATACACCCTGAAAGAGCAAGAAGTAGAAATGGATCCCCTGAGCAGACAAGAGGCTACGCGCTGAAGCTGTCAATAGAAGGAAAGCTAGTGCCAACTCTTTTGTGTATATCCTATTGTGCTTCTTTTTCTTCCCAGTCTTCTGCCCCTGTTGTTTAATTTCTTCCTTGATTTCCCCAAAATCGGGCACTGAGACACCCCTTTGATACAATGGTTCTTTCTCAACCAAGGTGATAAGATCACCCTCAGAGGAGCGCCCCGATTTCTTAGTTACAACCCATTCATATGCACTTCCAAGTTGAAATAGACCCGAAATCATGGCATTGAACTTGGTCACTGACATAGTGTTCTCAAAAAGAAGATAGGGAACAATGAAGGGGAATGATTTTGGAGCGGGCAGTATATTGAGAAATGACATGGTAGCTGGAATGTAACAGACAACCCATGATGGCAATGTAGCCTCGGGGATGAACATTGTCATAGGGAGGATTATGCAAAAAAGGGTGAATGAGTAAAATGGTAGTATCAGTTTTCTTAGCAGGAAGAAGAGGAAAATCAAATTGCCCTTCTTCCAAATGCTAATCTGCATCAAGCAAATGAATAACGAGAATAGTTTCAGTCAATAGAATTCAGCTAATTTCGTCAAATACCAAGAGTTGTAATGCCAATACAAGCAGCAAGTGTTGCACAAGCTGAATACCTTTGATCGGATAATGGCAGGTAAACAGAGACGAAACAATTGCATAGGCCCCGAATGCCACCTGTGTTGCTGTTTCCTATAAGCTTCATAAGATTCAGGTACTTCGCATTGGCACTGAAAATGGAAGAGAACCAAAAATTGTTGATTCACAATTAATTTACCACAAGAAACACTAATGCAACTGAATTATATAGTAAAGCAGAAAAATACCTCCACATCATTGAGGAAAATGAACTTCCATCCATGAAGATGAGCCCGAACAGCGATGTCCATGTCCTCAACGGTGGTTCTCTCCAACCACCCACCAGACTCCTCCAAGGCCTTTATCCTCCACACACCAGCAGTCCCATTAAAACCAAAGAAATTTAGGAAAATTCCGTTCACCTGCTGCTCCACCTCAAAATGAAATGCTAAATTAATGTGCTGCAGCCTTGTCAACAAGTTTTCATCCTTGTTCACAAATGACCACCTTGCCTGAACCAATCCTAGTTCCTTATTATCCTACAATGCGCAGACAAAAGGATTATTGGTTTAATTGACCAAATTGCATCAACTACCAACACATAAATTTGCCCATAAATTACTATCACACACTCACAACTAATGATATTAACAGAGTCATATACATACTGGTACTTGATTAATGCATTAAACTTGTCATGGCATTGTGGTTATGTACCAGAGATTATTACACAGAGAATAGATGGAGTTTTGAATACCTTGAAATGAGGAACTGTTCTTTGGAGAAAGTCAGGGTTGGGCTGAAAATCAGCATCAAAAATGGCAACAAACTCATATTCTTTGACATAACTACAATTCATAGCAGACTTGAGATTGCCAGCTTTGTACCCCTCCCGAATCACTCTGTGCCTATAAACAATGTTGGCACCCTCTTGTTGCCACTTATGTACCTCCTCTTTGATCAACAATTGTGTTGTTGGGTCATCCGAATCATCCAACACTTGAATTAGAATTTTGGATTTAGGCCAGTCTAAAGTGCACACAGCACCAATAGATTGCTGATAAACCTGGTACAACAACTTCAAATTCAGATAAAACAACACAATTCTAACTGCAAAACCTGTAAATTAAGCTCATTGCCAACAAAGAATCAAATGGGTTTTTGAGAAGTTACCTCTTTTTCATTGCACATGGGGATCTGAACTAAAACCATGGGGAAATAACCATCAGCGTCACCAGACTCTAGATCCACTGTGGCTTGTTTGGCTACTGGCTTGATCTTCTTGAATTTGATCCAGAAACAACCCAAACAGAGGACTAACCTATCTAAACTCTGAATAAGGAACAGCAAGATACAGGCATTGGCAAGAAATTGAAGAGGAGGAGCGAGATACTCCACCCTAATCAAAACCCATCTTGAATAAAGTGAATCAAACACACTCTTAACAGTTAATGGGTTTGTCAATGTGTACAGATGCTTTAATTGAAGATCTGGTGCACCAAAATGCCAACCTTTGTAATATGCAGCTACCTCAAACCCCAGTAACAAAAGCGAAACCCAGAGAAACACCTTTATACATGAATAAAACTTAGTTTTCACAGTCAAGTTCTCAGTAACCCTTTCACCACTGGTTTCGGTGTCGGTGTCGGTTCTGCCAGAAGCAACACGGAGGCGAATGGCGGCGGCGAGGCTGAGCAATGCGGTGGCGATGGAGGTTAAACAACCGGCGGCTTTGTGGGCCTTGAGTAGGAGGACCCAGGTCAGCTGTTTGGCGTTTTTGTTTCTGGCTTTGCCTTTGGGACGACTGGGCATTGAGACGTCACCGTTGTGGTAGAGAAAGTCATCTTCTGAAGGGGCTTCAAGCTCGACCATGGACCAGTTGTTTGGGTTTTCCATTTTGACGACTACTGGTGTTCCTCTATGGCTCTCTTGGCCCACCAATCGAAGGATGGTGCCATTGTTGGAGGTCTTTGATCGAAGACCCAGATGGAAGATAGGCGTTAAAGTTTGAAACTTCGGCGCTCTGAAGCTCAAATGGATAAATGCAAAAACTCTCCAGAAAGAAAAAGTTTAGCTATCAATGCTCTGATCCCATTTTCAGAGAGAGAAAACAGAATGGGTATTGATGAAAGACACAAGACAACAGAGAGTATGTGGAAGGTGAAGAGGAAGGCAGAGAACGAGAGACGCGTGGGAGGGGAAAGAAGCTAGGCGTCTCTAATTCATGGTGCCATTCGTGTAAAGATTATAAGGGGACTGTAGAGAGAGAGAGGGAGAGAGAAGAGAGATGGGCAATAACTTGGTAGATGAGTACAAAAGAGCTCACATTCAATTACAGCTTGCAACTGTAATAAGAAGAGCAAAGTGAGAGAGAGAGAGAGAGAGAGCTGTAGAGAGAGAAAGAGTGATTATATAATTACCAGAATGTGATAACAGCTCAACACGTCTTTGATTTTGATTCCACCATGAAAATCAAAATCAAAGGAATTCAAAACACACAAAATTGACAGCAAGTTCTCTGTCAATATCACCAACCCACCCTAAATCTGTATTCTTTTTTGTTTTTACAAAACAAAAATCACCAAAAAAAAAAAAAAGTACCCAAAATCTAAGGTTAAAATATTCAAGAAAAAACAAAATCTAAACCATTTTTAAGAAATAAATATCAAAATGAAATAACAGGCAAAAGCCAGAAAGTTCCGACAAAGACTAATGGGCTATTGCTTTTGAAATTTCCTTTGCATCTTCTACTCTTTTTGGAATTTAATACATATAAACCAAAGGAATTAAAAATCAAACCTCTAACAAAAGATACTTTTTCACCCAGAAAATAATTGCCACAACCTCACAATATCAAAACATATACATAAGAACTAAGGAGAATATGTAAGAGAGTTGTTATGGAACATTTGAAGCTTGGATCCTCCTTCCTTCAGGGTAGATCTTGTCCTCGTGTGCAATTAATGAAATCATCAATTTCTTTTCCTTTTTCCCGATTTGGGTTGATGATTTTTTTTTTCGAGAGCAAGAAGAAGAGAAGATCGGGCAAATCAAAAAGAGAAAAGAAAAGTTAGAAAGATTTTTTTTTTATTTTTTTTTCTCTTGAAAGTTATTATTACATAAACATTTTTGGGTATTATTGGGTTTAGTTTTCTTGGGTGGGAATTGGTAAGAAGAAATCATGGCCGTCGCATATGTAACGACCAGGTTTGGCTTAGTAAAAGGAAGTGCTGTTAGATAGAAAAATACAGATTTTGAATAGAGATAGGCTTACAACCGGCTTTGTGTATGAATTGTGATTATTCCCTTTGACTGAATTGCACTTTTCACGCTGGGCCAAAGGCAATGCACAAACCCAAATTTGCCGCATTATAAATTTTCTCTTTGGCTATGTCCTATTAGGCAATTTTGGCATATATTTACTACATAAACATTTCAAAATCTATATACAATATTACCATCCTCTTTGCTTTTTTTTTTTTTTGTCGGACACTATTAAAAGTAGAGAGTCGACGACATTCGAACTCACAATCATGATATCTAATAACAAGAATAATGATCGATCAATAAACTAACCGATAACCTCCATTATCCTTATTGGTAACACAAAAATTAACTCTCATGTCTTGAATGCAAGTGGGATGTTGAATTAAAGAAATTCGTACTCAACATCAAGTGTTTTTACTATTACTAATCGCTTCAATTTTTTCTTTTCTTTTTGGAGTTTATAGTTATTGGGTATTTTTTATTAATAAATTAGACATCTGGTTTTAATTCCTTTTAACACCCCTTAAGCGATAATCACCTTTGCTCTTTTAGAAATATGTTTTAACTCAGTTCAAATTATTGAACTCGAAAGAGTAGTCAATTTAAATCTAAATACCCTGTAACAAAATATGTATATATATATATATATATATTTACTTATAAAATTATATTTATTGGGTGAATAAGAACTTCTCTCATGATGCTTCCAAAAGTTATTGTATGTCATTGTTGACATCAACAAGCCCAAAACCTAAACATTGATTTTATAATTGTGAAAAGGGATATTAAACATGAATTGTGGGGATTAATTTTTTAACAACATAAAATACTACTAGTTTGAAAGAGTGGGGGGTAGTCGTGAGCAGACGCGCTTTTGTGACTGTCATAATACAGGGAAAGCTAGATATGGTCTAAATTAGCCTTTGCTAGCTGCCCGGTCACCGACAATTTCTGCTAAGATATTGGTCAAATAGCAATGTCTATTTTGGGAAAATCACAAACTAAAGGAAAAAGGAAAAAGGGTAGGATAATTCTGATCACCATCCAACTTTACAGCAGTGTTTGTTGTTGAGCTATCAATGTTACCCCCCTTTTCTTTTAGTACATCACATTTCTACGGACCTTTTTGTCCTTTTCGATTTAATTACATCAGTAATTTTTAGAATATCATCCATTTTTTAATTTGATCTTCAATTTTTTTTTAAATTTTTTTTGTACACATAATCTTTTTTTTTATTCGGTATGCATCTTTTGTCATTTATCGTATCTCTCGAGTTAACATTGGCAAATAAAAAAAAAAAAGCATGGTGGGAATAATTTAAAAGTATTAAAAAAAATAATATCACTTTGCTCAATAAATGTAATTTTAAATTACATATTAAATGAATAAATAACAATCAAAACCACATTTTATTTGGAAAAACATTTCCTTACCACATTGTAAGAAAAGTTTATGGTGAATCTATCACTCCTCTCAGTTAAAAAAAATAGAAATCCATCACTCTTCTATTTGTCCATGATATAACATCCATGCCAATTGAAAAAAAGATTAATATAAAATAAAATCCACTTAAAAGTAATTAATGCTATGTTTTACTAAAATTTTATGCTAAATCTATTTATCCCAAACTAATGCGATAGATTTACCACCTAAATTTATATAAAAATAAAACTTATTTATCCAGTTATAATAGATTTGAAACATTATTTAACATAAAAGATTATGTATACAAACATGATAAGCCTAACATTATTACTTAAAAACGATTGTTCGTTCAAGAAATAATAGAGACGAGTTGTAAATTCAGATATGCTAAAATCGAGTTTTAACCAGATTAGAGAGATAAATATTTCATATTTGTTGGTGTGAATGGTATGTCTTTGACCAGATTAGAGAGATAATTAGTCGAGATAAACATAAATTGATTCAAACACCCTTGATCGTTGAATTTAAAAAAAATTATTTGAAATGTTTTATGATTGGGTATTAATATTTAATATAATAGTTACACTATATTAGTATTGCCACTATCCAATAATACATAAGCAAGTGTACAAGGGCAAATGAATTTTATAAAATTCAATAACGCTAATATTATAACTATTGAATCTACTTTATTTATCTTCCAAATTGTCTATTGACGTGACATTGGTGAGGGTGCAGTGAATAGTTACTCCCGCGGCTGATATGCGGCCGTGGATGTGTAGTAAGTACACACGCCAATACTGATCCGCTGCACCGTCACCTAACTTTTCGATGCAATGAACTTTCATTGGTCACGTTGAATTGAAATAAAACCAGTAAAAACATGAATAACTGTTCCAGGATTCAATGATCCATGCTGTGTATGTCACTCGCGTTATTCGTTTTGGTGGGTAAGTGGGTTGGTGTCGAATTTTAATACATTTGTCAGAAAAAATATTTTATTTATTAACTTACGTTTAATAAATTATGTTATATTAAATTCGTGTCATGTATTTATCGTATATAAATATAAACGAGTTGTGTCATATAATTTTTTTATTAATTTTATTTATATCCAATTTATTTATTAATCATGTCATGTCAGATTCTTTTATTTACGAAATATATAATTTTAGAAAGACTCAAATCTTTTAATTACGTGTTATGTTCATAGGTCATATCATATTTTTACACTCTTACATCACTTCTGTAGTTTTATTGGAATTTTGAAGTGTTCAAAGCTCTTCTTTTGTTTTTTTTGGTTCAATGATAACAAGTATTTGAATCAACTTAAATGCATTTCGATTAATTTTTTCATTGCCAGAATTTTATTTTTGGTGAGGGCAATCATCAAGTTGAGGAGAACGATTGAAAAATAATCATTAAAATTTGTTATGTCTTACAAATATGAGTGGTTTGTCATTTACGTTATTTATAAAATAATTCTTCATGACATTTTTTTGCCTAATTACTTTAAAAGTTTTTCAAGCATAACTTATAAACAAAAAAATAGAACCTAATTAAGAAAAGTTATATGAAATTTACTTTATAGAAAGTGCTAGTACTAAAAATAATATTTATAAGAAATATTATTTTGATAAATCATTCTGTAAATAAACTATAAATAGATATGTCAATCATCAAATTTTGAATGATTATTTACCAAATTTCGTCTTTACAATTTTTATCAATATTCATATCAATGTTACTTGGATTGTGAATCGCTCTGATACATAATACGAATACGAGAATATGATATAACAGTTTTTTAGGTTCGCAGTATGATGGGCGTAGATGTAATTGGTATAGTATTTTGGATAACAATTCATTTTGGGACTTTTATGTGAATCGTTTCACTACTATACAACATTATACATTACAAAACATTTTTTTTTTTTTATATTGAAAATTGAGATATAAGATAGCAATATAGTAAATTAAAGACAGTAATATAAAAACAGTAATTCTAAGCTGGGGCATGCATCCAACTCTACTTGATTCTTTGTTGAGGTCGGTAGTTGGTCAGATTGCAATGTAACAGTATAGCCCATAGTGATGCCCCGTCCTGTTAGTTCATTAGCTGCACAATTGCAGTCCTGCGTATATGACCAAATTCCCTCTCTGGATGATCATCGACAAACCTGCATTCAACCTTTCAAGAATTGAGTTCCATCCACGATGTGGTAATTAACTTACTATTTATGAATGTTGATAAATAGTAACTAATTTAGTGTCTATGAATGTTTCGTTAATTATCATTTATCTTATAGTTGTTGTGTTTGATTTTTTACTATCTAAAATAATATATAATTATAAATCTATATACACATAGTCAATTAATATATATATAAAATAAAATAATTAAATTGTTTGTTTTGAACTTTTCGCAGCCTAGATCGTTTAAGGATTATTGATCCAACGATCCTAATTAGACTTTTATTCTTTTTATAACTTTAAGATTCCTACCTCATATAACTCTATCTCTCTCTATCTCATATGTGCACTCAACTCTCTCTTTATCTCATATCTCTTTTAAATCACTAATGCTATTGGGACCAATTTTGAGGACCTAATGCATTATACTGTTGAATTGATAGTATTGGAAACCAATGATACTTTAATATTGGGACCCACTCACAATTTAATGGCCAGAATCATTAAGTTCTTAAATCATGCTCTCAAATTATGGCACAATAACATTGCTCATTTTAAATATACATTATATATACATCTCTTATCTCTTAGACATTTTAAATACGCTCTTACAAACACACACTCTTTCATCTTTCATAAAACTCTTATTATGTGTATTGTTTTCTTTACTCAATGTTTCTTTACTCAAAGTTTACAACTTTAACATGATTTTATTATATATATAATAATATACAATACAATTCAAACCTTAAAAGATAAATACAATGACTTTTATTTTTCGCGGTTGATATTTTTTAAAATTTTATTTTAAAGTTAATCTAACGACTAATATTAAGACCCAAAATTTAATAGAAATGATAGGTCCCTAAAGATGTATTCGGAATAACTTTTTAAAAGTGTTCCTAATAGTTATAACCTCTCATAAATACTTTAAAAAAAAGTGTTTGAAATTGCTTCAGCACCACAACTGTTGTCATCACCAACACTACCACTACTATTGTCGTCACCCTACCACCACTACCACCACCAATGCCCCATCACCACCACTGTCACCACTCCATCCACCACTATCACTGCTGTTACCATATCATCATTGTCGCTATCCCACCATCACCTATACCACTCCCCACCCTCACAACTATCACCATTATTGCCACCTCCCTACCCCCTGTCACTGCCCTCACAATCACTACCAATGCGTCACCACCACCAACCACCAATTGCTACCATTGTCATCCACAACCACTACCTATCATCGTTATCATTTCATTTTTATATTTATTACCACTATAACTATCATCCTATTACAACCGTTGCTCACTGTTAGCACCCATCACCACTCGTCGTCGCCCATCATCGCCTGTCACCACTATCATCCACCTGCCACCACACCTACCACCACCACCCATCATCACTCACACTATCGCCACCCATTACTGCCACCACGATCGTCGCCACCTACCACAACAATCACTATCTCCCATCACCGCCACTGTCATTGCCCACCACAATTACCACCGCTCACTCCCACTACAATCGGTGTTTAAAAAAATTTCTTGTCCTTTATATTTGTAATTTGATTTTGGGTGTAAATACAAATATGTTTATTGTTGACTATTTTTTGTATTACTTCATGCCTTCAGGCACAAGTAATAACTAATTATATTTGTAATTTTGACACTCATATATTTATATGATTTTATAGCTGATAAAATTTTTAAATGTTAAAAAAAAAAA